GTGGAAACACAGACCCCCGCTTCCCCCTCGACTGACCGAGATAAGAGCTTTCAACTGCTGGCCGAGGGGAGAGGAGGGCTGCTGCTCTGGGAGGACGTCCCAGAATCTCCTGCATGAGCCAAAGGCCAGAACAGAGCTCGAGATAGGGAATAGTTTGGATGTGGGAAATTAATCTATACTATTTGACAGACAATGTAAACTTTCATCTGATAAATAAAGATGCTGATTTGTGCTTAATAGAGGTACCTTCAGACATATCTTATTCCCTCATCAGTGACCATGATTTTTCAGGTAGTTCAAGTTCCTAGATCAACATATTTGCTCTGTTCCAAAACCCAGAGCTGCCTACATTGACTGCAACCTAAATGAAACAGACCCTTTCAAATAACTACAACCCCAATTCCAGAAAAGTTGAGATGTTTTGTAAAATGCAATAAAATCAAGACTTTTCATAAAATCAAATAACTTTTATTTAATTGACAAAAGTACAAAGAAAAGATTTCCAGTGTTTTCACTGACCAACTTAAATGTATTTTGTAAATATAAACAGATTTTGATTTTGATGGCTGCAACACACTCCAAAAAAGTTGGGACAGAGGCTAAATAAAAGTGAAAAGATTACAGAATATCCAAGTTAAACAGTTTTCAAACAGTTTTTTTCACAGTAAGCAGGTGAATTGGTAATAGGTGAGGGTGTCATGTTTGGGTATAGAAGGAGCATCTCAGTCTTTGCAAGCAAAGCTGGGTCATGGCTGAGAGAAGTGTCAAACAAATCAAAAATCATTTCTCAATGCAAAATCACTAAGAATTTAGGTCTTTCACCAACTACCATACATAATATTGTGAAAAGAATCAGGGAATCCAGAGAAATCTCAGTCTGTGTAGGGCATGGCAGGACACTAGTTGAATCTGTGTGACCTTTGGATCCTCAGATGGCATTGCATAAGCAGCAGTGTAGCAGATCTATTCCACCAAGACCAAATACATTAACATTGTCATATCCATTACCATGCTAAAATCTTCAGAGAGTTCTCATGATAGAAATGTGTTTAAGTGACATTAATTGTGGTCTTGTGAAGGTGAATCAACACTAAAGGTCCAAACAGCTGGACATTAACTTCTGAGTCTCCTGAGTGTCTTGAGTCTTACGTCTTTCAATCCACACATTGTTCAGAGCTGTAACACATGCTCAGCTCACATAAACACTATATTTTCATGTAATTATTTTCACGTCTGTTCCAATATATTTATTTAAAGAGTCTGCAGAGCAACTAAAACAAGATATAT